GACTCTCTGATTTGGGTTCCTGCCCTGAGCTGGGGTGGGGGTGGTTTGGACCGGATGGCCTTAGAGGCCCCTTCCAGCTCTGCTGTTTTATGATTCTATGTGGTGTGGTTTTACCCCCCGAGTTCATCATCCCTTTACAGGGATAAAGGTTGAGGTGAAAATCAAATAAAAGAAATCAATACATGTTGGTCCAGTGCTTTTCAATCAATTGGGGTTATGCTGCGTGCCCCTGAGGGGAGCTTTCCCCTGCCCTGGATACTTAAACCTGAACACACCCACCCATTCCAGCCAGAATGTTGATCGGCTCCCCCCGGAAGGCAGGCCAGAGCGCTCTTGCCATAGGTGTGCAAGGCCTAGGGAACCACACTTGATTGAGAAGCCCACACGGCATACTGCAACGGCAAGGCTGAGAGGTTCTTCCGAGGGCTTTTTCTGTGCCGTTGCCCGGAGGAGGCCTGAGGGTCGACGTGCGAAACACCTTTTTGCCAAAACCTTGGTGGTTGATGGAGTTGCTCCTTCTTGATTTAACCCAGCTCGATGCACTTTTTCTGTTTTATTTGTTGACTCATATAGGTGTAAGTTACCATTACTTTAATTTAAAAAAAAATACCCCAAACCTAGTTCTGATCTTTGTGGCTCATTCCACAATTCCTAGAGAATCCACACATTCATCTGGCAACAAAGGCGCTTTAAAGCTGCAGAGGTTTTTGTTGGCAAGAGTGTGTGTTTGTGTCATAGCCCGGTTCCTGAGAAGCGTGGACTAACGTAAATAAAGCTTGCTCGCTTGTTCGGGGCCAGAATCTTACGGGTTGCATGCACTGATATAGGTGCAATGGTGCAAACCTCTGGTAGCGGAGGAACCTCTGTTTTGCCTTCGTTGTGCGTGACTGGCATGTCGTGAAGGATACAATGAGCCGCTCACTCACTAGTGGCAATTCATTGCTGAGATTTACGTGGATGTAAATAACCAATAGGATTCTGGCTGCCCTGTCAGGAGACTCTGTGATTTCAAGCGTTCTAAGCTTTAAAAACCCTTTGATCGAGAAATGTCACCGGACGTGATAGGGAGGTTTGGAGAGGCTCAGATTGTTTGGTGATGGGCAGAGGTCCCCTCCTGCGAGCCAAGTGGTCTGCAGCCCAGATCTGGTGCCCCCCCCACTGAGATGCCTCTAAGAAGCAGGTGTTGGGCTTTGGGAGTGTTGCCCAACAGAGTGGGCTTCGCAGTGGTGAGAAATTGGCTGGGACCGGGGGCATACTTTGCTTCTGCCTCTGGTTCATGCTCCTCCTCTCCGTGAGGTGCTGGGTAGTGTCACAATGTTGAGATGGCATTGCCCCCCCCACTTCATGTTTGATGAGCAGCGGGGGAGGAAGAAGCAACAGAGGCTGGCGCGTGATGAATGAGGATGTGAGTGGCCTGGAACTGAGCAGACCTCAGACAGAAGCACGCACACGCAGACACACACACCTGGCCCTGAGCTGGTGTTCTGGTCAAAGACTCTTCCAGGCCTCTCCATTTTCCTCTTGTGTTCAACGTGCACCACAATTTCGCTCCCAGGGTCAGAACTGGGGACTGTGCCTTTTCCTCCTCATCGTCATCTTTTCTCTTGTGCAGAAATTCGGAGAGCTTGGGATGACCTCCGAGTCAAAAGCCCTGATGGGGCTCTACCACGGGCAGGTCCAGTGCAAGAAGAACAAGTTTGGGCAGCCGAAGGAGCCTGTCCGGTAAGTCCCACGGCCACCTTTGTTTCCTGCGACCTGTGGCCTTCGTTGCCCTTGGCTGTTGTTTTCTCCCTGTTGGCAGGCGGGCGAGATGCATGGTCTCTTGCTGAACCCACCTACCTTCTCTCCATATGATGGGAGTTGTATTTTTGTATTCGCAAAGGCTTTCGCGGCCGGGATCTAATGGTTGTTGTGGGTTTTTCAGGCTTTTCAGGCATGTTCTGAAGGTTGTTCTTCCTAACGTTTTGCCAGTCTCTGTGGCCGGCATCTTCAGAGGACAGCACCAGAGCACAGAGTGCTGTCCTCTGAAGATGTCGGCCACAGAGACTGGCAAAATGTTAGGAAGAACAACCTTCAGAACAGGGCCAAAGAGCCCGAAAAACCCACAACAACCAGTTGTATTTTTATTTATTTTATTTATTTATTAAACTTGTATCTCACCCAACTAGACTGCGCCTACTCTGGGCGGCTCACAGCAAAATAGAATAAAAAACAATTTAAAGTATCAACAACAATTTTATTTATTTTTATTTATTTATTTAGGCAAAACGTTAGGAAGAACAACCTTCAGAACACGGCCAAAGAGCCCGAAAAACCCACAACAACCAGTTGTATTTTTATTTATTTTATTTATTTATTTAACTTGTATCTCACCCATCTAGACTGCGTCTACTCTGGGCGGCTCATAGCAAAATAGAATAAAAAACAATTTAAAGTATCAACAACAATTTTATTTATTTTTATTTATTTATTTATTTATTTGATTTTTACCCCGCCCTCTAGACCATGTCTATTTTACAGCAATAAGCATATTATTCAAGATGGGAGATAAGAGATAAATCAGGTGGTGCCCCCAGGGAAGGCCTGCCTAAATAGCCAGGTTTTGAGTATGCTTTTGAAAATGCCCAGTGCAGGGGCCAAACGGATCTCAGAAGGGAGGTTATTCCACAAATGGGGAGGCACTGCCGAGAAGGCCTGGTTTCTTGTTTTTTCTTTCCAGGCCTCCCTCAGCATTAGGCTCCTCAACCCCTCCTGGCTAAAACAAGTGATATGAGTAGATCTAGGTGGGAAAAGGCGTTCCGCCAAGTATTGAGGTCCTAAACCGTTTAGGGCTTTATATGTAATCATTAACACTTTGAAATCAATGCGGAATCGAATAGGCAGCCAATGCAAAGCAGCCAGGGTGGGAGAGATAAGCTGATATGTTCTCATTCCACATATGCTGGAATTTTCTCGTTCTGCTAAGTCATCTGGCTGCCCCATTCTGCCCCATTCGAAGCTTCCGCATCAACCTCAAAGGTAGCCCCACGTAGAGCGCATTACAGTGGTCTAATCTCGAGATTACAAGCGCATGCACCAAAGTGGTGAGCGCCCCAACACCAAGATAGGGACGCAGGTGGGCAATCCGCCAAAGATGGAAATAGGCAGAGCGGACCACTGACGCCACCTGGGTTTCCATGGTGAGCGCCGGGTCCAGATGGGCCCCCGAGCTGCGAACCTCACTCTTTGCGGTGAGAGTCACCCTCCCCCAAAAAACAGAGGGAGTTTCCCAAACCGTCAGTGGTGGGGCCACTCACCCTCAGGACCTCCATCTTGCCCGGGTTCAGCCTCAGCCCATTTTCCTGGACTGTCGGTGTTTTTCTTAACCCTGGCAGTTCTCTTGCTCACCAACGTGCCAGAGCTGAGAAACAGAACAAAAGGCCTGTGGAAATACACTTTTCTGTGTGTCTGTTTTTTCCTCTTATGCTGGGACTCGGGTTCTTTGGGAGAGTGATGGGTAGGAGGTGAGACGCTGGAGGTTGAGGGGGAACTTCCTCAGATTTTTTTGCCACAAACCTTTTTTTAAAAAAAAAAAACTGTTCACAGCGAGGGCCGTGGAGGGCAGGCAAGTGGAGTTTCTGCGTGAGTGCTCTCCGGGCAATGCTTCCTGTCGGGGAGAGAGGGGAGGTGTCTGCGTCCAGGCATCTCCTTGTTTCTGTCCCGTCCCACTTTTCTCCTCTCGTCTCTGTGCAGGAATCTGGCAATTCTGGGGGCGGGCCTGATGGGCGCCGGCATTGCCCAAGTCTCTGTGGACAAGGGGCTCCAGACCATCCTGAAGGACACGACTCTCGAGGGCTTGAGCAGAGGCCAGCAGCAGGTCTACAAGGGGTAAGCGCTCCTGCCGTCCCGAAGGACGGAATTCGAATCACAATCTGAGCCTGACTTCTCTTCTCTCATGCACTTGCAACACCAGCAGCTGCTTGGGTATGCTGGTGTGCCTCTGAGCATGTGCAAAAGTCCCTTTTCTCAGTGCTGGCCTCGGGCAATGCTTCCTGTCGGTTTGAGGTGAATTTTAAGGACTTTGAGGTGCCGTATGGCCACCTCCTTCCAGATCTCCCTCTGAGCAAAAGAGAAAAGAAAGCTGCTGGCAGTCGGCTCCTGTTTGCATGGATGTCTCTGCCCCCCAGAGCAGTGTGGGCTTGTGGCAGTCAAAATGGGCCAAACAGAAATCTGTTGAAGCCGTAAAGCTGAGAGGGAAGTCCGCTTGAACAAAGGAGTCGTAATGTTCCACTTTGATCAGGGCCTGTAATGACCTCTCCTGGGTGTTTCTTTGGTTTCGCCTGGTTCCCCTGTGGCTTTCGTTCCCCGTCAGCTTTTTGGAGGGTGCCTTTGAGCCCCTGTGTTTGCCTCTGGCACAGCGTTTGGGAGCCAGCCTTGGCAAAAGCAAGTTCCGGCTCTGCGCTGCTGGTGCCCTGTGGCTTTTGTGGGGGCAGAAGGGCTTTGCAATTTGGAAACTGTTTCTCCAAGTTGGCTTCCAAACCTTTGTAATCTTTTCTCAACATGAAAACCGAACATGTAAATGCCAGGCTAAAACAGTCCTATGTTGTGCGGGGGCCAAGATGAAGGAGAAGCCCAGAAGGTTTGGGGCTGTGGAGGGATCTGTCGCCGGTGCCAAGATGCAGGGCTGTGGGCACACTGGTTGAGCCAGCGGCCTTTCTCCGGCACTTCTCCGGAGCGAGGCCGGTAGCAGATTTCAACCCTGCTGCATCTGTTTTTTTCTCAGCTTGAACAACAAAGTGAAAAAGAAGAACCTCACCTCGTTTGAGCGGGACACGATCCTCAGCAACCTGATGGGGCAGCTGGACTATAAGGGCTTTGAGAAGGCCGACATGGTGATCGAAGCGGTCTTCGAAGACCTCGGCGTCAAGCACAAAGTGCTGAAGGAGGTGGAAGCGGTGAGTGGGGATCGGGATCTGCCAGGTGTGGAACGTTTGGGATTCACCTCCCCCAGTTCCCTCGACGCTCGAGGAGGAGGAGGAGGAAAACGCCTCCGGTTGCTGCCCTTCCCGCAGGGAGCTTGCCACCCATCAAGCTCCCCATCAGGTCTGCAGCCAGACGAGGTGGTTCTCCATCTCGCCAGCGTGGCAGCTGCTCAGGGAGAAGGGCTGCCACGTAAGGTGGTGATGTTGGACCTCCAGACCACAAGGGCGGGCATGCACACCCGGACAGCTGCCTCAGAGCGCGCTCATTGCCTGCTCCAAGGTAGAACTCATGGCTGGGTGGCAGGTGGTGCAGGTTGAACCAGCTCAGCTGAGGGCAGACCCCTCCCTTCCAAAGAGGAAGGCCGTATTCCAAGAGGTTTCAATCTCACGTCGGCAGGTAGCGTGGACGCCCACGGAGGGACTTCCCCCCGTCTCCTCCCACCTGCTGCAATTGTTGGGGAGGTGCCGAGAGCCTCTTTCAAGGGGTCCTGGGGCGCTCTGCCGGAATGGAAGCCCCCTCCCTCTTAGTCTGGCGACTCCCCCCTCCCCCCGCGCGCTGTCTTCCAGGTACTAGTATTCACCTTGGTTTTCTCTCTCCAGGTGGTCCCTCCTCACTGCATCTTTGCCAGCAACACGTCCGCCCTGCCCATTCACCAGATTGCCGCGGTCAGCAAAAGGCCGGAAAAGGTGAGTCCTGGAGGGTGTGTGTATGTCGCCTTCTGTGCAGTTGGAGGCGGGGTGCGCGTCTCCGTCCTTGCGTGCCTTGGTGTTCTCAGAAGACCTCCCTTGATCAGTTGGGACCCAGGGGAGGGAGGGCGGTCGGTCCTGTTTTTCTCTGCGCTCTCTCTTGGATTCTCTCTCTGCCAAGAACTCAGATCCCGCACACATCCCCCGTTGGCTCCCCTTGGACAGTCAGAGGCCTCCCTTTGAGTCTTCCTGCTCTGGGAAGGAAAAGAGAAGCCCCTTTCTCTCACACACAGCAGAGCACCGGCCGGGTCGGCAAGCTCAAGGGGGACCCTCTGTGGACCTGGGGGGGACTGCCCGAGGCTTGAGATCCTGGGGGGGGGCATGCTCTTTTTTGGGCAGGGAGTAGGCGACCTATTGTGGCTGTGGAAAAGGAGGTGGTTTTCACCCTGGCCAGCGGCTCCTGTTAAGAACTGTGAAGCCAAGGGGGGTGGTGGGCAGTGGGACTCTCGAGGCCACATATCGCCCTCGAGGGACACCCCACCCCACCCATCATTGGGTTGTTCCTAGCCCTTCCAAAGGTGTGTCTTGCAGGTGCAGCAGCCCCTGGTCCCCCTCCCTTTCTGAGCCCTCTTCTCCATGTGCAATGTTTAGAGGTCATGGGAACCCCTCCCCCCACCACAGTGTGTTAAAGCCCAGGGTCTCCTTCCTCTCCTAGCCGTTTAGTCAGCTGCTGTGCCTGGCACTGATTATTGCAAGCAAAATTGCCATGAGCTTTGATGTCTCCCCCCCACCCTCAGTGTGGGGGCCCTTGGTCCAGCACCCCCCAGGAAGGGCCCTGTCCTCTCCTGCCAGCTCTTGCTACCAACCCGTAGCCATGACAGCAAAGGGTTGACAGCAGAGGGAGCGCCTTTCGCATCTGGATCCCAAGCTTAGGAAGCTCCTCTGGAAATCATCCGAATAAATTCGACTTCAGCTCTTCCTGCTGAGCCTTTGAAATGGACAGACCGGCTGCCTGCGTCCACTTTCACCTAGCCTGGTGACGTGCAAGTAGGCTGAGCTACGCCTCCCATCATCCCCTAGCAAGTCCTGGTGGGCGTGATGAGGGTTTTAGTCTTACATATTTGGAGCCGCCGCCCCCCCCGGCGGGGAATGCTGGTCAGTGGCGGTGGCTGCTATGATGATGCTGATGCTGATGCCTTCCCCCCCATAGAGTCGGGTGAAACACAGTGCTCACCATTATATATACAAACAGAATATTGACACGCTCAGCAAGAGTAAAAACCAACGTCAAAAGCCCTGGAGAAACACTTTAGAGACCCCTGGAATCCAGAACAATGCAGTGTTATTCCTAAAACCTGTGCAAGTAGGCTGAGCTACGCCTCCCATCATCCCCTAGCAAGTCCTGGTGGGCGTGATGAGGGTTTTAGTCTTACATATTTGGAGCCGCCGCCCCCCCCGGCGGGGAATGCTGGTCAGTGGCGGTGGCTGCTATGATGATGCTGATGCCTTCCCCCCCATAGAGGGCGCAAGGCAGCTGAGAGTCGGATGAAACACAGTGCTCACCATTATATATACAAACAGAATATCGACACGCTCAGCAAGAGTAAAAACCAACGTTAAAAACCCTGGAGAAACTCTTTAGAGACCCTTGGAATCCAGAACAATGCAGTGTTATTCCTAAAACCTGCACGTGTCCAAATCAGGGAAGGAAAGGTTTTTTTTCCGACCTGAGAAGGACAAGAGGGAGGGGCCTTGGCATGCCACCAAAAAGGTCCCCCCCCCTCTGATTCCCGGCAGGAATGGGACTGACACACACACACACACACACGCACACACGCCCACACCCCTCCCGCTCACAGTCCTGGGCAGTGGGTGCCTAGGAAGTCAGTCGTTTGGGCTCGGGTGTTGGACCGCCTGGGTGCCGGCTGGTCCTTCCTTCCCTCCTTCCCTCGCTCCCCATGGCAGAGGGGCCTCATCCTGTCCCGCTCCCCTTTGCCCTGCAGGTGATTGGAATGCACTACTTCTCCCCCGTGGACAAGATGCAGCTGCTGGAGATCATCACCACCGACAAAACCTCCCCGGACACGGCCGCGGCAGCCGTAGCGGTCGGCCTCCAGCAAGGGAAGGTCATCATTGTGGTGAAGGTGAGGAGCCCGTTCGTCCCGTTGTCCTCTGGATGGGAGCGGAGCGGGGCCCACGGGCAAAGGCTTGCCTGGAAGGAAGGCCGCCCGTCTCTGCTCCCCCACACCTTGCGGAAGACCCAGGCCCAGGCATGGGGCAGGCCCCCTGTGTCGTCGTCCCCCCCCACCGCCTGCCCTGCGCCATCCATCCGTCCATCCATCCGGCCGCCCACAGCGATGGAGGAGGAAGAAGGCAGCCTCACGGGGCTTTCTTGGTGGTTCCATTTAGCACCACTCCTCCTCCTCCTCCTCCTCCTCTTCCCTTCCCCTTCCAGCTCCATATTCATCCAGGCTGGAAGGTTGATTTCCTCCCCCCCCCCCAACCCCAGTTTGTCAGAGAGACTTGGTGGGAATGCCACCGTTAATGCCCGAAATAGCCCCATGGTGGGCGGAGGTTTCTGGACTGGGTTCAGGCCCGCTTGGAAACCGGTGGCGTTGCTTCTCTTGCCAGGGAAGGGACGGGAGGAAACGTGTCGTCCTTGTGGGTCCTGCTAAGCCCTCGGTGGCCTCTTGTACCATTGACCACGGGATCTCTGCGGGGTGTGTCTCTGGGGATTAGGACCTGGAGGCACCGTTTTGTGGTGACTTTGGCCCTTCCTAGAGGAGAGAACCCAGGAGGCGGTGTCAGGGCACTTCTCTTCAGTGGAGGGTTCAGTTCAGTTCTGCCAGACAGTCATGGAATCACAGAACAATGGAGTTGGAAAGGGGGCCTCTGAGGCCATCCAGTCCAACCCTCCCCCCCGCTCCTTCAAGGCAGGAACCGAAGTCCAAGCAGATCTGACCGAGGGTGGTCCAGTTTTCTCTTGAAGGCCTCCAGCGCTGGAGGGCTCACCACCTCCCCTTGAGGTCATGGGCTCCGTTGTCATACTGCTCTAACAGTTAGGAAGTTTTTTTCTTGAATCTGGCCTCTTGTAGCCTGAGTCCATTATTGCATGTCCTGCACTCTGGGATGGTTGAAAATAGATCATATATGTGAAACCACCAAAGGAAGTTGCCCAGAACTTGGGGGGGCGGGGCGGCTTGTATAGAGATGGCACCCAAACTCTTTTCCATCTAAATAAACCAGTGGAACCGGTTTCCTTTGTAATCTTGTACCCGGTGTCCGCAGCAGACCAGACAGAGGGGCTCCTGGTCAACGGAAAGGCCAGCCAGGCAACAGGGAGTTTGCCCTCCCCCTGACAACCCAGGCGCGCAGCTTAGTTGTGCCCCTATAGATTCAGTCCTGAGGCCTGGACCGCCACATTTTCCCAGTGGCCAGGGACATGTGGGCATAGTTAAAATGAGTGCACCAGCTGCCCCCGTCCCTTGAGAAGTCTCGTCTAGGGTGATGCCTTAATGACATCGCAGTGGGATTGCTGCCCTGCCTTCTGCTGGAGGCGGTGGGGAGGGGAGGGGGCTACCTTTGGGGAAAGTGTTTAGAAGCCTGGAAGTCTTCCGGATGCTGCCTCCGGATGGGTGTCCAGAGCAGCGGGTTAAAAGGAGAGCAGAAGTCCCTTCGCTACAGCGGCTACACTGGCTGCTGATCTGTTTCGGGGCACAATTCAAAGCTCTGGCATTGACCTGAAAAAAAGCCCGTCTGTTTCGGGGCACAATTCAAAGTGCTGGCATTGACCTGCAAAAAAGCCCAAAACAGCTTTGAGGCCAGGAGACCAGCAGGCAGAGAAGACACTTTTCTTTCCGAGCAGGCTTCTAGTGAGTCACTAAAGCAGTCAGCAAAAGAGGGGGTTCAGCAGGATATGGGGGACCCCCTTGTCTTTTTCAATATGCTTTTTCATGGTTTCAGACTGTTTTCATCCAATAGTATAACTATGTAGTCAATTGAACTGGTTTTTTAAATATTAGGATTTGTTATGTTTTGAACTATTTTAACGTTTGTCTTTTCAATATTTTGTCTGCTGCTTTGTGCCATTTACCCGGACGAAAAGCCGGAGAAATGAAGGCATGAATTGGGGGTGGGGTGGCCTTTGGCCCGGTGTCCACCTCCCATTAGCAAATTTGTCTCTGTGTTTCCTTCTGACCAGGATGGCCCTGGTTTCTACACCACCCGGTGTCTTGCGCCCATGTTGGTGGAAATCCTCCGCCTTCTCCAGGTGGGTAGCGGCAGGTGGGCACACGGTTTGGCCTGGGCCCCTTCCACAGTTTGGTCATTGTGCCCCCGAGGAGTGGGGGGAGGGGACCCTTAACTGATGCTTCACCCCTTTGGCCCTTGAGGGCCCAGCTCTGGCGTGCGGTTGCAGCTCCTGCTGCATGGCTGGGTCCCTTTGCTTGGGGCCTCGGTCACTTCCGCCTCCGGTCTTGATTCCACAGAGGGTTGGAAGGGTGGGATCAGGCCTCGGCTCCTGGGTGCAGAGAACCCTGGTGCCTACCAAGGGCAAAATATCTGGTGGTCAGGGTGGAAGAAGGTCCTTCCTGGCTGGCTGGGCAGCCTGTGCTCAAGGTCTCCTCCCCTCGTGGGCCCAATTCTCTCCTCCTCCCCCCCCCCTCCTTGAGCCTTTTTACTGCCTCCCAGGGAGCATCGGAGGCCGTTTGAGCTTCTGGCTGCCTCGGCTCTTCCCGCTCACCTGCTGTTCGCCCTGCTCAAGGGCTTAAGCGCTTGAAGGGGGACACGCTCCAGGAAGTGCCGGGGCTGACAGCAGGACAGCTGTCGAAGGGTCCCTCTCTCCACGTTCTCCTCGCTGACTCTGTCCCTTTGCAGGAGGGCAACGATCCCAAGAAGGTGGACTCCCTTTCCACGGGTTTCGGCTTCCCCGTCGGGGCAAGCACCCTCGTCGACGAAGTAGGTGTCGATGTGGCCGCGCACGTCGCCGAGGATCTTGGGAAGGCTTTTGGAGAACGGTTTAAAGGAGGGGACGTGGAGCTTTTGAAGGCCATGGTGAACAAAGGCTTCCTGGGTGAGGAAGGGGCCGTCGGCAGCAGCCCAGGCCCAGGTGGTCTCTCTTGGGAGCTGGGCCCCGCAGGGAAGCGCCAGCCGCCCACCGCAGGGCCAGAGGCCTGCTTTCCTCGTGTTTCTGAAGCACACTCGCGGCCAGTGGAGGAGAGGGAGAAAGGTCTGGGTGAGGAAGGGGTGCTGGGCTTTTCACGTCAGCTGACCCAGATCCCACCTTGCAAACTTCAGGGTGGGAACTTTAATGTTTCTGAGCTTGCCACGGGATCCTCGGAGCAACAGAAGGGTTTCGCGATGGCCACAGGCTCGAAAAATGGCCCTGCAGAGAAGTAAAAATCTCCGTATGGGAGAAAGGGCCAGCCGCCTGCTTTGCGAACCGGATTCAAAGTAAAAGTGGTCCTGGTGGGGAGGAGAGAGCCTCGACCAGAGCAGGCTGGGTGGGGTTTGCCTTTCCCCCATTGTAAGTTTTGAGGCTGCCAAGCTTTTTCCCCGCCGGTTCCTCATTCTGAGCAGATCTACAAATACCACGCCTGCTCTTGCTACGTGGCGTTTCACTGCAGATCCAGCCGTCGGTCAGAGACACTTTGACTCGGATTCTAGGCGTGAGCAGACCACTGGTGGCCTGACAGCCGCCTTCCCACTCCATGGTTCCCTGTGTCTAGGAACTGTGTGGGATTTTTCTCGTGCTTTCTGCAGTGAAAGGACGGGATACCTACAGGTAACTGGTTCTATGAATGGTCGTCTGTGAATTCACACTAACCTGCTGTTCTGCGCCTGAATGGACACCCTCAGAATATTCCAGACCCTAGAACGAAAGCGGATCGCCCTGGTTGGCCTGATCCCACCTCGGGTCCCACTGTTTGCATGGCGGTGGGCCCAAGACAGCCACCCTGCAGGCAGATTTCATAAGGGATCTCTGGGGGATAGCATTTCGGCTATCCGAAATGCCGAGAGCGCTGTGGTAGGAAACCCTTTGGAAGGGCTTTTTAAAACCAAGGGTCGGGGTGGGGTGGATAGGGGATGGGCGGAGAATAGGCCAGGGTTTGCTTGTGAGGAGAAGGTTATCATCCTCTGAAATCAGCTGGGAAGCCAAAGAGCATCCATGGGAGCAGCTTTCAAAGCAGGGAGGCCTCATGATCTGAACCGGTAGGGTTTCCCACTGCAAACCCAGGGTGGCCTGGACCCCAGGGAGCAGGGAGGTGAACCATTGACTTGGGAGCGGAAGGAGGATTCCTGGCCTGTTCCTGCCCCCCACCCGCCGCTCCCTGCCACCCGAGGCAGCCTGCCCTGAGGCTTTGGTCATTGCCTCCCCAGGCAACCACCCCATTTTACCTGCCACGAATCCCCCATCTCCCCCACCCCATCCTTGGTTAACTGATGTGTTTTGTTTTGTTTTTGAAACCCTTCCTTTGCCAGGCCGCAAATCCGGGAAGGGCTTCTACGTCTACCAGGAAGGGGTGAAGGACCGGAGCATCAACAACGGCATGGACGAAATCCTGCAGAAGTTCAAACTGGCGGCCAAGCCGGAGGTGTAAGTCTTGTGTAGAGGGAGGGGTTTCCTGGGCAAGACGGAGAACTCCAGGATGAGGCCCACGAGGCTGGCCTTGCCTTAGTCCCTGAATGTAATGCAGCTGCAGGGACACTTCCGATCGTCCGATCCCGACCACTGGGTCTTCTCTTAAAGGGAAGGGGCGCTTGGTAAAAGGTAAAGGTAAAGGTTCCCCTTGACAATTTTTGTCCAGTCGTGTTCGACTCTAGGGGGCGGTGCTCATCCCCGTTTCCAAGCCATAGAGCCAGTGTTTGTCCGAAGACAATCTTCCGTGGTCACATGGCCAGTGCGACTTTAGACACGGAACGCTGTTACCTTCCCACCGAGGTGGTCCCTATTTATCTACTTGCATTTGCATGTGTGAATTGTAATCCCCCGACTCTCCCACAATTTGGGACCTCCCGGCCGCTTTGCCTTCCTGGCCGGAGAGCGTCCTGCCCAGCCAGCCTGCGCCAGCGTCCTAGCAGCTGCGGTGTGTGGTGACCCAGCCAGGGGCAGAGTGACCGCTGAGCCGCTGCTTCCCATTTTCCCAGCTCTTCGGACGAGGATATCCAGATGCGCCTGGTGTCGCGGTTTGTGAACGAGGCTGTCCTGACCCTGCAAGAGGGCATCCTCAGCAACCCCGTGGAAGGGGACATTGGAGCCGTGTTTGGGCTGGGCTTCCCCCCGTGCTTGGGTGGTGAGTTGTTTGTTTCGTTATGGGTTGGGGGGGGGAGTGCGCGTTTATGCTTTATCTCCCTCTGGAGTCAGATAACCAAGAGTTTGGCAGAACTCAAGACACCTCGTTTCTCTTGAACTGGGTGGGGGCGCGAGGCGGGCGGATTCTCAGAGAGGCTGCCTTCTCCACTTTGCCTCTGATCCCCCTCCTGACGGTGTGTCAGGACGTGGTGGGGAGGGGGGTGCAGAACAGTGTTCAGAGGAGCCACCGGGGTGGGGGGGGAAGGCTCTTTTAGAACCTGCACATCAGAGAAGGCTCTGGGAGGACGGAAACCTTTGCAAGAGAAGGGGGCGCCTTGGCCATTTTCCAAGGCACCCCGGCCACTCAGCTGTCTCCGCCGAAGTAAACCCAAGCGGTGCAGTGGTTTGACGCCAGGTGTGCCAGCAGATCAGGGCGGTTGTCTCTCGTCATGGGTACAATAACCTTTGATCATCCTCATCTGAGAACGGCCGAGCTGGAAGGGACCCGTTGGGCCATGGAGTCCGGGAGGCCCCGAGGGGCGATCGGATGGCCAGGCTCCGGCTCCGCAGCCGGAGACCGAGAGACCCGAGCGCTCCCGCGGTGCGTCATCCTCCTGCTGTGGGACCCACCGCTCTTGTTTCTTCCCCGCTTCTCTCGCCCGGCAGGCCCCTTCCGGTACGCAGACTTCTACGGGGCCCGGCGGCTGGTGGACCGCATGAGGAAGTACGAGAGTGCTTACGGAAGCCAGTTCACGCCGTGCCCGCTGCTGCTTGACCACGCCAAGGACTCCAGCAAGAAATTCCACAAGTGAACTTATCTGAACCTCCACCAGCCGTCCGTCGGCGGAGAGGAAGAGGGAAAACTCGCCGGCGGTTCGCCAGCCTGAGGGCGACGGGTCTTGACCCTTATAGTGCCTTAACCCCTCGGCCACTACCTCTCCCAGGCCCCCTCCCCCTCGCCCGGCTGAAGGTTGGCTTCCCCATATCCAAAAAGGGAAGCAAGGGTGGGGTGGGGGGGTTCTCTGCCTCCCAACCCAAGCCTGACCCCCCCCCCGGGAGTCCCAGAGCCAACAGCAGCAGCAACACTGGCGAAAAAGCTGCTGTTTCTGGGTCCAGAGCCCACTCCGCCTTCATCTCCGTAAGAAGAGAATTTCTGACAATAAATCCTCGTGCCTGGTTCTGTCAAGGGATCCCTGGTGGTTTCTTGAAGTTGCTGCCTGAAGCATACCTGGCCGGGGGGGGGCGCGATTCCTCCTCTCGTGGAACAGCCTCAGTGGCAAGAGGCCCTTTTCTCTAAGGGACACCCTGGGGTGGGATGATGAAGCCCCTCCAGCGGATTCTGAGAGGGGTGGGTGGGAAACGCCCCTGGTGGGTTGGGCCATGGGGGGGGGAGCTGGGTGTCCCGGTTGGGCAGCCCTGTTGTCTTCTTCTGGGGTGTGTTGGGGTGTGGGTGTCCCGTTTCCCCCTCAGCCCTCCAAATGCCTCTTTTGCCAACTCCACAGGATTTGCAGCTGGGGGGCTGAGAAGGATTCTCCACTAGCTAGGACAGCCCCCCCCCGTCTCCTTCCCTCCTTAACCATCCGTCACCTCTCTCCCAGCCTTCTGCACCTCTGCTCCTGGCTTCCCCCTCCCAGAGAAGGTGCTTCCCACCTGGTTTTCTGAGATCTGGAAGAGAGAGACTCTTCTTAACGCAAGAGCAACGGTGGGCTCAGCCAGGCTATGCCCACCCGACGGTGATCCTCTCGCTTCGGGTGGAGGTCCTCGATGGCCGTGTCCTCACCCGGACCGGATCCTGCCCTTTGCTACTGGTGGGGCGGCGGGGAGTTGGGACAGCTCGGAAGGGCTGTTTCTGTGGGTGGGGTGGGCCCGCCTTGCAGTACGCAGGTCACCTGGCTGTGCAGAGGGACTTTAGGACCTGCGTGCGGCCTCCTCCTGCGCCAGGTGCCGTGGCGGGTCCCCCCAGGTGAGCTCCGAGTGTCGGGAGAAGGCGGCCGGAGGTCGCTTCCACTAGAAGACGGTGGGCTTCTGAGTCCAGCAACAGGGAGGTGCTCCGGCCCTCGCGTCCCGCAGGGTGGTTGCCCAGAAACTCCCCCCCCCGCCACCCATAGGAATGAGGCATGTGAGAGAGAAGGGAGGCTGAGCCAGCTTCATGGGTCTCTTCTAGCCCCCCCTCCCAAATCGCCCCCCTGGAAGGCTTGCACTCTTTTTATTACTACTGTATTAAATAGGCTGGTTTATTTGTCTATGGCAGTGATTAGAGAAAGAAGCAAATGCAAACTCTTCTCTAGGCAAGAGCGGGAGGCGAGCGCCCCCCCCCCGACCTCTGGGTGCTAAAAACCACCGCCTGTGTTACAGAGCAAGGGAGCGCCGGTCCTCCTCCTCCAAGGAAGTGAAAGAAGCTGCAAGTGACACGAGTGGAGCCCCCCCCCAAGGGAGGCAGGGAGGGGGGCGGCTGGCAAGAGCCAGGCTGCGAGGACCCAGCCTGGAGTTGGGCTGGGGGTGCACAAGGGGGGGGAGATTAGTAAGACGCACAGAGACCCTGATGGAAGGTGAGGGCTTGAACGTCTACCTCTGGCGCTCAAGTGTCGCGGAGGAGAGAGAGCATCCCAAAGGCCTCTTCTGGCTCCAGGTGCCTGGGAGCCCCCCCAAAAAAATCCCTCCATGAGCCCAGGAAGGGCAGGAATAGAGCGGGGGGGGGAGGCAAAAGGGCCTTCCCAAACCTGGCCCCTACCGGTCCTGTCCTGGCCCCCCCCTCCCAGGGAGAGAGTGAGAGCTCCGGGGGAGCGCAGGAAACCCCAAAACTCTCCCGGAGAAAGGGGGCGCCGCTGCAAGAAGCGAGGTTGGCTCTGAGAAGTCCCCCCCATGGCCCCAGGCGGGGCGGGGCGGCAGCTCCCTCGGCCCCCCTCCAGGCAAAGCAGGGGCGCCCTGATCTCCCCGCGCCGCTCCAGGTGGCCTCTTAGGGGATGCGGCTCACACACAAACACACACACACACACACCGTCTCCGTCCTCGCTCTCCTTCCCCCTCCCCCGCTCCCTCCGCTGTCCCGGGCTCCCATCTGCAAGTCCTCCGGCCGGCCTCTGGCGAAGATGGGGTGGGTGGGTCACCCCGGTCCTCCCTCCCGGTCCTCCCTCCCTGCGGGCCGGCCCTAGATCTTGGGCCTCCATCCCTTGATGAACTGGACGATCTTCTTGACCTGGAGCTTGGTCAGGCGGAAGTCCTCGGCCAGGATGGCCTCGCTCAGCTGGACGAAGAGGCTGCCGTCGATGCGCTCGCGGGCGAACCCGCTGACCACGTCCTCGGAGAGGCCGATGA